ATATTTATTATTATTTTCATTATATAAATTACAAATTAAAGCCAAGCTCTTTAGTTTTTTTATAAATTGATTGATTGATTGATTAATTGCCATACGTATTAAGTAGTTATAGAACATTTTCAACTCTTCTTCTTTATTAATCAAAGCCCTTGAGTTTCTTTGTGACGTTGCTTTTTGAAAATGATTCTTTAGATCATCTATAATATCGTAGTTGATCATTCACGTGATTTTTAATTTAAAATAAAATTTATTATTCATTCATTAACAAAAGGAAATTCTCAATATATCTGTTTATTATGTTTATAGTATGGATTGCTCAATTACGGATTTTGGACGTAATAATTTTTTATCTAGTGGCCCAATTTTGGTCTTGTTTGGATGAGAAGGGTATATATATCCAAGTCTGTATGAAGAATGGGTATGCCATAAGGGGTAGAAAATTTATACAAAGATCTTGGCATAGAATGTACAAATTTGATATTTGTACAGAGAGTTATGTGAAATGGCCTGTTTTTCAGCATTTTAGCAATAAATTGGGTACTTTATATGTCTGTACAAAACTGTCAAGCTGATTTTCAGAAAATATAATATAAAGGGGGAGTTACAGCATATAACAAAAAACCTTGAAATCTTTATTTATTTGTTTCTCAAAAGAAAGCTGAAAACCAGAAGCTTCTATTGATATAAATTTTATAGGAAACCTATTTTTAATTGCTTTTTTATAATATTAGGCAATGAAGTTAAATTTTGTTCTATTTAAAAATTCAATTATAAAAACAGCAAATTCATTTCTCACTAATTTGCAAATACCATACATGATAGTGGAATTCATTTAATAAAATTACTCAAGTTGTCAAAATCAAAAGGTCTCTAGAAAAATCAAAATCATAATCAAAATCAAAATTGTAATTTAATTCAAAGTCAAAATTTACATGAAATCAAATATTAATTATATATCTTCCAATCCTATTAAAAAATTCTTCAACAATATCTTCAGCTACATAATTCATTGTTTCAATTCTTCTTTTTGAAGTACTTTCATTAATGACAATATTTTCACTTGTATCAAAAATTGGATCATTTAAATTTACAATATCTTCAATTCCTAATATATCTATATTATTTTCATCTAAATTTTCATTTTCACCCAAATCATCATTAGTATCCAAATGAGTAATACTATCTGATTTATTATCATATGAATTCAAAATTTCATTTTCTTCAGTTCCTATTTCACCTAAATTCATCATAGATAAAATGCAATTTAAAAGTAGTTTCTCTTTCTGTAATACGGTGCAGATCATCTATAATCATTAATTGCTTATAGTAACAATTGGTCAACTTCAAAATACTAAAACAAAAAAAAATTATATCATTTTAAAAAATTTAACCGATAAGTTTTATTGTTCATGACTCAAGCTTCAAAACTTATTGGCTGGTTTTTTCTTAAACTGAAAATTGGCTGAGCCTTAGCATTTTGAAAATTCCAAATTTTGTTATACACTTAAGAAATTGAGACTAAGTAAATTTCGTGTAACAACTTTTTTTTCATAGAATATTTTCTACAACATACATTCGATTTATTTGACTTATTTATTTCCTTTTTTTTATTAATAAATAAAAGTTCTTTACTACAAAAAAGTTTAACGAACATATTACATTAAAAGAAAATCATTACCAAAGTTGGTCGAGAGATTCAAAATATTGTAACACGAAAATTAAAAGATAAAACTAGCTTCCATAGCTTTTGCGTAAAGTTTTCATTTGATAACTAAAATTAGTTGACCCTGGAACATAAAGTGTCGAATCCTTATTGATGATTTTATCTATAATGCACCACGTTATCGATATAAGAAATGTTCGAGATTAGTGGCAAATGAATGAGTTTGTGTTCAGCAAAAGAAAAACTTGGCTCCTTGGGAATAACTGATGAAACAAAGGAGAGATTAAAAAAAAAAGATCTTGGAATATACAAGTTTTTTTTGTGAACTTTTATATTTTACTAACCTTTAAAGCAATTTTGCTTACGTCATTTTTGACTTAATGGCAGCGAGTTTGACGTAATAGTTTTACAACTTTGGTAACATTTCGTCAAACAACATTACTTTGTAGTACCTAATATTAAACAATCTCTAATAAAATTGTCAACTGTTTGATATCAAAAAGACTTGACCGCCCTTTATTTGATTATCAATGATAAGGTTGACTCCTGAGAAGTACCAGAAAAATTTCTTACAAAAAGGAAATCAGCCGGCCAAGCTAAGCCAAATCAGCTTAGCCGGCCGACATCACTAGTTTTATCAAGTGAAAAAGAATTATTTTATTTTATTAAATCATTTAGTTGTGAAAATGCTTTTTTTACAGAACAGAAAAGAAATAATTTAGTATTAATTCTTGCTCTTGTTCTTATGAGCGAAGCACTGAAATATTAAACAATTAATTACAGCCGAACCTTGGTCACAGCGGACCTCTTCCATAGCGGACTATAATTAAATTCTTGTCCCGTTCATCCGCTGACAAGGTTTGACTGTAATTAACTAGTTAGTTAACAACATAATCACCTGTTGTATAATAAACTTTTATGTTGATCTTTCCTTTTGAAAAATCAAGTATCTTTTGTTCCACTAATTTAATTAATAAGTAAGTATAATATTTAATATTAATTAAATATAAATATTAAAGTCTCGGCAGATCGTATTTTAAGCATGTGACCTAGTTTCTTTCGTCTTCACATCATCCTCGTTACTAAATTTAGCATTAATGATGAGCATAAAACTTGTAATGTTGAGTTGTGGAGTAAAGAATTTTATGACCAAAGTAGAGATTGTTTAATTCTCCTATTCACAATGTTAATAATAGATTATTCCGAAGTAACTCCGAGCAATATTTAGTTGTAACAATTAAATTTAGAAATCGAATTTGACAAATATATTTAAATATTAATATAGTAAATATATTAACAACGACCCGTGTGATTCGTTCACCCACTAACCGTGAATGGCCTGATTATTTGTACTACATTATTTAGTTTCATTTATAGTTTCAATTCCAAAAATTTTTCAATTTTCAATTTAATTTAATTTCAATTTCAATATTTTATTCCTCCCTTCCTTCCTTTATTTATTCACTCTTTCCTTTAATTATTCACTCCTTCCTTTATTCATTCACTCATTTATTCATTTCACTCCTTCCTTATTTTACAAAAAAAAAAAGTATGAAAATACTTTCATTAATCAGCTTAATATTAACTATAACAACAACAACAAATGTCGTGATAGTAAATGCTCAAACTGCAAAACTTGGACAATGGGATTTTGTAGGTGACTCTGGAATATCAACTATGCATGGAATACTTTCACCAAATACCAACAAGGTCCTCTTCATCGAACGTGCACAGCAAATCACCAAGGTGACTATTAATAATAAACCCTCTTTCACTGTAGAATATGATCTTGACACAAATCAATATAGAGCATTGACCACAATATCAAACACATTTTGTTCGGCTGGATCATATCTGCCAAACGGGGTAAGTAATAAAATAATTAATTAATTAATGTTAATTAACAATTTTTCTATTTATTAAAAAAAAAAAACTTTTTTTTTTTTTTCAAATTAAAAAAAAGACCGTTATGAATGTGGGAGGTGCAGAAGCAGAGAAAACCACAGTTCAAGGATTCAACAGTATTCGATTATTTGATCCATGCGATGATGGAACATGTGACTGGAAGGAATATGGTTATAAACTTGCTAAAAATCGATGGTACCCTTCAGTTGAACAGTTGGCCGATGGTTCATTATTTATATTGGGAGGATCCAATGTAGGCACTGCAGAGAATGATGGAAAAAAAAACGTGCCAAGCTATGAGTTTTACCCACCAAGAGGCGACCCAGTCGACTTTCCTTTCCTGGTAGAGACATTACCATACAATCTATACCCCTCTGTACATCTTCTTCCCAACAAAAATCTTTTCATAATGGCAAATAAAGCTTCCATCATACTTGATACAACCACCTGGAAAACTGCTAAACTTCCTGATATTCCTGGTCCACCAAGACATTACCCATTAACTGCCGGCACAACACTACTACCATTAAGTCCTGACAATAACTATGATCCAGAAGTACTTGTTTGTGGAGGTTCTAATAGAAATCCAAAAGTAATAAATGACGGCTATGGTGAAAAATCATGTGGACGTATTTCTCCTTTATCTGCTAATCCTAAATGGAGTATGGAAGATATGGAATATGGACGTATAATGCCGGACATTGTGCTTATGGCTGATGGGAATACGTTGATTCTTAATGGATGTTCAAGAGGAATAGCCGGGTTTGATATAGGAAAGGATCCAATTCTCGTACCTGTTATTTATAAACCAAATGGCGTTAAAGGATCTCGCATGGAAACAATGCAACCCTCGTATATTCCTAGAATGTATCATTCCATTGCATTCACGATCCCATCATCTCAAGTTCTTGTTTCCGGCTCTAATCCTAACAGTAAAGTCACCGAGACTTCAGCATTCCCAACAGAATATCGTGTTGAAATATTTTCCCCGCCGTTCCTATTCACCGGTTTACCACAACCAGAAATCACGAATGCACCTAAAACTTTAAAATACGGTCAAAAATTTCAAATCGATGTCACAATCTATAAAGGTGACAACAAACCTAAAATCACATCTAATCTTCTTAATTCTGGATTTGTTACTCACTCGACGCATATGAGTCAACGACAAATTTTCTTGGAAGTTGTTGAACACAACGAGAATACTGGCAAGCTTACTCTAAAAGCACCACCAGGTAGTGGTGTAGCACCACCTGGACCTTACTTATTATTTGTTGTAAGTGATGGTGTTCCATCGGTAGGTGTTTGGGTTAGAGTGTAATTTTTTTATAAATTTTTGGGGGATCAAATTTATTATTTTTATAAATAAAAAAATAGAATATAAATATTTGGGTTGTAAAATAAAATAAAAAATATGATTATACAAAATTTGTTATTTCTCAAGTAATAAATTATTATTGATTAAAAAATTATCTAGAGTTTTTTCATATTCTTGCTTATGAGTTAACCAATGTCTAACATGTTCACTATCTTCAAATCTTAAAGTCGTAGTCTTGAATCCCGATCTTTTACTTTTTTCAATTATATCTTCTATTTTCTTGTAAGGAATCAATTTATCAGCTTTGGAATAAATAAAAAGTCTTGGGCATGCTGTACCTATTCTTGCTATTGTGTCCTTATTCCTTCCTCCCTCGGCTTTTATTTTATTATTGTTGTTGTTGTTGTTGATAAGTGAATCAGCAATATAATTAATAAACAATTTCTTTTTTTTGATAAAACTTAAAATTAACAAAATTGGATAACCAAAGAAAAGTAAAATTTCCACAATTATGAAAATTAAAATTTTCTTTAATAAATTAGTTTCAGCAACAGTATAAACTTTGTAAAGCCCAAATACTCCAGTAGTTCCAGGTCCAGAATCAAGTATTACTGCGTCATAACTCAAATTGAAATTGTGTTTTTTACAAGCATTTATTAATGCAACCATTCCCATTGTTCCACCATTTGAAAATGCGTGTGCAATAACTAAAGGTTTCTTCTCATTCGAAGCCAAAGAAGATGATAAAACACCAAATTCTTGTAGAAATGGAATAAAACTTTCAGTTAAATTTTCAGCTGATAAAGGATAATAAAAATAAGGAAAAACAGGTGCAACGTAATAAAGAATGTGAAATTTTTTTTCTCCTTTTTCATCTTTATAATTTCTCCAATATGAAGCACATTTTGATACATTTTTTATTGAACTATTTGACCATCCAAACATTATAACAACCGATGATGGTGATGGTGGTGATGATTCATTATTACTATCGTCGTCGTCGTTGTTGTTGTTGTTAGATCTTCTTTCAATATAAAGTGGAAAATTTTTTTTCGGTTTAATTTTTTCAATAATTATTTGACTATTATTATTATCCTGAGGATTCATTTTACCGCCGTACAACCCATAAAATTTAATTTTTTGGCTATTTTATTTATTATTATTCAAAAAATCTATTATAAAATTTAGATGACCTTTCTAATTTAAGTAATCAGATTTATTAGTATTAGAGATTTTCTTTATCACGGGAAAATTGTAAAGCCGTCATTCCGAGATTTTACAATTTACATATAGGCATATATGAAATATTCCAACTTTGAAGCTTTATAATTCAAAACTTTTCTAATAAAAAGGAAACAAGTAAACCGATGGAAATGAAGCTTAGGTTTTTAGCTTTATTTTTCTTTTTAAACAAGGAGCCATAAGCTTTTAAGTCATGTGATATTCATTGACCGTTATAGATGTCCTGCACTCACTATATTACTATGAAACATTCATTTTACATCTAAAAAAAATTTGTCGCGCAAAAAACGAAAATTTTTTGGTCGAATAAAAAAAAAAATTGAAATATCGTGTGATCCACATATTGGGATTTTTGAATTACATGACCAAATTTGGTAGTGACTATTTTTATTTCCATTTAGGAAATCCTATCTTTGGCTCGCGACTTCAGAAGAAACAAGTTGAGTAGGTGACAGTATAGTGCAAAGTAGATAACAATATATATATATATTGTTACTTATGATAGACTGTTACCTACTTGTCGTACGATTGGTTCGTATTTTTGTCATACTTTTAGGCTTGAAGAATTCGTGATTGTTTTTTCATTCGAGGCCGACTGATGGCCCATTCTGGGTTCATGGAAGAATTCACATTTGCGTTGTGCTTTAGGTACGACAAGTTTGAATTTGCATCGTACTTTTAATGATCGTTATTGACGTCCATAACGATGGACTTTGGTGACACTATTGACTTCGATACTAGGATGAGGCACGAAGTGCCGAATTGTTATCTTCACTTGGTGATACGCAAAAGCACAATTTTTTCTTACTTCTTCCTTATATTATTCTACCTTTGAGTATCACCGAAAGTGTACTATGTTTTGGAGCCCTGGAGCCTTTCTCGTATAGTTGATGCTTTTGAGTATCATTTTTTCATGTTAAAAAATTGATTATACTATTGCGTATCACTTTTACATATTACTTCGGATCATACTTTTATGTAATAATTTTTGATTTGAATTTTTTTTGTACATTTATTGTAAGAGACGACAAAAAAATTCCCTCTTACCTAAGATGAATGGTTAGTTGAATGTAGTATATGTCTCGCAAATCTAGAAATAACAGACGCAAAACTCAAGGTAGATTTACTACAAATCCTATGCAATATTTACAGAAGGTCATATAACTGTCATAAATAAGAAGACATAAGATGTAAAGGAGGCATTTGATTATGAGAAGGTATGTAGGTATTTAGAGGTAAATAACCTCAATTCAAATATTCTCAGCATGTAGTGGATGTGTAATCCAGAAAAATTGATGATCATTAATGTGAAAGTAAATGCAATTATTATTATATATGCGAATCGACTTTCTAGGTACATATAACAATTAGTTTTCTTCAAAATGCATGGAGTTTCTTTTCCGCGTCTAACGCATATTAAAATGGCACAAAAAATATATTGACTAATTTATTAATAAACAGATATATATATATATGACAACTTGATAACAACTGTCTATTTTCTAGGCAGAATTGACAATTGAACTACTTTCTACTTTTTGACCCGATTTATTAGATGGAGGCGCATTATATAACAAACTAATATTAACTAGCAGAATATTCCGTAAAATTAATAAAAACTCCACGAACCTTGCTACCATAATTGGGTCGAATATTGGACTGGTATTTCTGCTTCATGGAGATGGTAATAGAGACGCACATCAAGTGAATCCCAAATAAGAACATTTAAATATATTTTTCTTCCCGCTATTTGTACCCAATTATTCCAAATTCATTCTTGATAGGTTTACAACTTTTGCGGACCAAAACATGCCATAATTTGCCTCTCTCCATAGTTTTACCCATCATCTCTTTCTTTTTGCGCTATACACAATAAACGTGAGCATTCAGTGTGGACCAATTCATAGTATTTATCCCTATGTCTCATTACAAACATAACATCAGGTCACTTTCCTGATCGACCATTCCCTCTCCTAACTGCACCGGCACTACTCTGTTGTTCAAAATTGCTAAGAAATGAAGATGTCCATAAATAGAGACCTTTTAACGAGGCACAAACTGCAGGCAAGATTAAATTAGTAACATAAGCACCTTTATTTAATTTTTCTACAAAATTGGACCTAAATGCAGGGTTTCTCCAAGCATCGTACCTAATGATAAGATTATTTAATGAATATATTCTTTTAACAGAACCCCCAAAAACTCTATAATTTTAAATATCCAGATTGGAATACTCACAATGCATCTAGAATCCTTTCAGCAACATTAGCAAGTTCTTCATTGGTTTCCTTTCACATCCCATCATGTAAAAGATTTTGTGGTAATTTGAATCCAATATCATCGGTAAAATTCATTACAACTCCTATGCACTATTGATAAAAGGAAGGGCGCCATACGTTGAAGTGGTTCCTAATAAATTAACGTTTTGTAATGCTTTTTGTGAAATAATATGGAGATTCGATCTGGTGCTGATCCCACCTTCCCGGGAAAATCAGACCTTACGAGTTTATAATACCAACCATAAATATATTTTGCAATTCATCTGGCAAGAGACGTATAATATCTGAATCATCACTAGTAATTTGATTTTCCAGAGGGTCATTCCAAGGAAGTTCCGAAACTGCGACCTCCCTAATTCTCCTATACAATTCCAAAGACAACGCCGATGTGTCTTTTTTCAATTTTCTTTTCAACTTAGTTATATTTTCCGAGATTTGAATTAAGGATTTCCTCATCTAATGTTACTACTCTGACATTTTTCAAACTACGAACGATTTTGTAAGAGACTTTAAATTAGTGCGGATATAAATTGTTAGTTTGGAATTCCAAATTAATGTTGAAAATATTTTAAAGGGCGCATGCGCTGTCAGATTATAACCAAAGCTCTCTCTTTGTGAGGTTAGCTACTCCATCACGCAGATGGAACTTTATGTGATACTAAATTATCAACATAAAACCAAACATAGGCTTTCAACTTAAACATCCCTCCCGCGGTGAGGAAATTCCTGGCGTGGGACTAAATGGAATGCTTAAGCTGACATGTTTGTTTTTTCGGAGGTATCACTTCCGCGCTATTCATCATTCAAAAATATTAATACAGATATATTTTTAATGACTTACTTCTGAGAGAATTTCAAGGAGAGTCACATAACGTGAAGAATATCTGTTATAATTATTATTAGCGGATTCTACAGCTTATTCTATAAGACTTCTTAATTCGCCTTCGGTCATCCATGGATTCTCTTTCATTGCTTAATAAATAACAGAACCCGCTGTTATATTCTCCTTCTTCAGCAGTTGTTAGGAAATTATAGATTTTAGTAAATAAAACAGTAGGCATGTTTAAGTTAAATTCAAATATAACTCTTGAACTAATTGAATTAATGATAATAAAAATCAAAAGGCGATTAATGCCCATAAACTCGATATACTTCCCTTTTAAACGTTTTCCTTCCCATATATTCCTCTAATATCGAATGAATAATGTAGAGATAAAGAATGTATTTACGTCATAATTAATCGAATTTGGTTAATCGCACAAATAAATCATATGCATTGAAATTTTGAATGCTTTTTGTTGCACAACCCATTAAAATGTCATACGATATAATTGATTATCTGATTGATTATTGGATAGATATAAAAGAATCATGTGCGCGTTACAAGATACAAATATTAATTGATTTGTAAATACTTATCTACAATTATGCTTCCACTGCTATGGTTTTATTCGGAAATTTAAGAGCATTATTCCAAGGGATAGGTGATGTGAAGCATTGAGTTTTTAACTCCTGAATCGGTTCTGAATTTTCAGTATAAGCTTCTAATACCTCATCAATAGAAATTCCCGGCTCTTTTAAATTATCGCAACACAAATAATATATCTTTTTACTTTGATTATCAAATCACCACTTACCTTGTAAACTCATATGATTTTCTCTACATATTGGACAGTACCCAATAAGTATCACTTTGATGCTCGCCTTCCTTATCTACACTATGATATTTGTCCGATTTTGGAGAATTAGTGAATGCATGGTTAATTTGTTAATAACTTGATCACATTCCTCTTTTGATAGCATCTTCTTGAATGGAAAGAGCTTTGGAAGGGTATTATATGGTGGTATACTTAACTCGGTTCCTGATATTTTTTTTGACTCAGCTGAAATACTTACTTCAGATTTTGAATTAGTAAATTTTTTAGGAAAATGATTTATAATATTTTGAATTTGTGCATCTGTTAGTCTAGAAATGGCATCAGCACTATACGTAATGTGTTCAATTTTATCTATTCCTATCCCTTTAAATAATGTATAGATGTTTTTAGCTTTTTGGGTCATCTTACGCAAATATTCTCTCTTAACACCAGGAAGATATGGTCCCATTTCATCATA